GGATGAGTTTTAGGCTCCTTTGGATTTGGAGGGTGGTGAGACCAACCCGGAGGTTGAGAAGACATGGTGAGTTCCTGATTGGATGACTGTTTAGGTTTTGTAGTTTTGAGAAAAAACAGATCTGGAGGTTCAACAACGGGTCCAATGGGAGGTTCTGCATAATGAAGGAAAATTGGTGGTGTTGCATGAGTTTTAGGATCCTTTGGATTTGGATGCTGATGAAACCAGTCAGGAGGTTGAGAAGACATGGTGAGTTCCTGATCTAATGGCTGTAATGGCATACTGATTGGGATTGCAGACTCAGCTTGACCCTCAACAGGAGCTAGAAGCTCCCTCTTCTTATACTCTAGAGGCTGAGCTGCAATTTTTTTATGTGATTTTGTAATCTGAGTTGGGTTTTCCTGTCCAGGTTTAGGTTTTGTAGTTTTGAGAAAAAACAGATCTGGAGGTTCAACTACGGGTCCAATGGGAGGTTCTGCATAGTGAAGGAAAATTGGTGGTGTTGGATGAGTTTTAGGCTCATTTTGATTTCGATTATGGTCTGACCAACCATGAGATTCTGAATGTATCGTAAGTTCCTGATCCATAGACTGTAATGGCACAGTGTGTGGTGTTGGAAATTCATTTTGTTCCAGTATTGGCATTGGAATTATCATATCTTGAGATTCTGAAGCTTCAGCTACATCTTCTTTAGTTGGTTGTGTAATTTGAGTTGTACTGTTTTGAATGCTTTGAGAATAGTCCTCCTCAGCATTAGGTTGACTATGTAAAGTAAGTTTTCGATCCAAATGTTGATTGGTGACAGCAGTTGGATTTAAATGCTGAATGTGAACATGCCCTGGATATATCCCCATAGGGTCCTTTGGCGTAGGAACCATAGCCTCATCTGGGATTGTATGGTCAGCCTCTCTAGTAGGTTCTGAATTTATAGTGAGTTCCAGGTCCAAAGGTTGATCTGTGGTTTCAGCTATGTTCAGATGCTGAGTTTGAAAGTGTTCTGGATATATCACCAGAGGGCGCTTTGGAAAATGAACTGTTATAGTCTTCTTCGAAATTGTAGAATGGTCAGCCTCTTTTGTAGGCTCTGAAGTTATGGTGAGTTCTAGATCCAATGGCTGAAGTGATGTTTGATACTCAGCTTGATCCTGACTTGGTGATGGAACTGTTACCTCCTGATATACAGGGGCTGGAACTACAATCTCTTTATGAGGTTCTGCAATTTGAGACGTGCTCTCCTGCACAGTTTGAGAAAGTTCTCCCTCAGTAGTAGGTTGTGGAGTTATGGTAAGTTCCAGATCCAGAGGTTGAACTATGCCTTTAGTTGGCTTTAGGTGCTGAACAGGAACTTGTTGTGGAAGTGTCATATGAGTGTAGCTTGGAAGAAAAGCACTAGTCTTCTTTGGAGTTGTAAAATATTCAGCCTCTTTAGTTGGCTCTGGAGTTATGGTGAGTTCCAGATCTAAGGGCTGAAACGAGACAGTGGGTAAGTTTGGATATTCAGCTTGATCCTGACTTAGTGTTGGAACTGTCACCTCCAGATAGACTGGGACTGGAATTACAACTGCTGAAGATGGTTCTGTGATCTGAGTTGTGCTGTCTTGTAGAGTTTGAGGAACGTCTCCCTCTGCAGTAGGTTGTGGAGTTACAGTAAGTTCCAGATCTGAAGATTGAACGGTGGCTTCAGTTGGATTTGGAGGCTGAGTGTGAACTTGTTCTGAATGTATCACCAGAGGGTGCTTTGGAGGATAAACTATTATAGTCTGCTGTGGAACTGTAGGATGGTGAGACTCTCTGGTAGCCTCTGGAGTTATGGTGAGTTCTAGGTCTAATGGCTGAGATGAGACAGTGGGTGAAGTTGGATACTCAGCTTGATCCTGACTTGGTGTTTGAACTGTCACCTCCTGATAGACTGGGACTAGAGCTATAACCTCTATAGGTGGTTCTATGATTATCTGAGATGTGCTGTCTTGTAGAGTTTGAGGAAGTTCTCCCTCAGCAGTGGGTTGTGGAGTTATGGTAAGTTCCAGATCTGAAGGTTTAACTGTGCCTTCAGTTGGGTTTGGATGCTGAACTTGTTCTGAATGTATCACCAGAGGGTGCTTTGGAGGATGAACTATTATAGTCTGCTGTGGAACTGTAGGATGGTGAGACTCTCTGGTAGCCTCTGGAGTTATGGTGAGTTCTAGGTCTAATGGCTGAAATGTGACAGTGGGTGAAGGTAGATACTCAGCTTGATCCTGACTTGGTGTCTGAACTATCACCTCCTGATAGACTGGGACTGGAACTACAAGCATTGTAGGTGGTTCTATGATCTGAGTTGTGCTGTCTTGTAGAGTTTGAGGAAGTTCTCCCTCAGCAGTAGGTTGTGGAGTTATGGTAAGTTCCAGATCCAAAGGTTGAACTGTGGCTTCAGTTGTGTTTGAATGCTGAGTGTGAACTTGAGGTGTGGTCTCCTGCAAAGTTTGAGCAAAGTTCTCCTTAGTAGGTTGCAGATTTATGGCAAGTTCCAGATCCAAAGGCTGAACTGTGGTTTTAGCTGAGTTTGGCTGCTGAGTCTCAACATGCTGTGGATATGGGATTTTCACTTGAGAATAAGTCTGTGGGTTTACAGTTCTCTTTGGTAGTATATGCTTACCCTCTGGAATAATTCCTGAAGTTACAGTGACTTCCGGGTCCAAAGGCCAAAATGAACCATTAGATGATATTATATACTCACCTTGATCCTGATCTGGTCTTGGAACTGTCATTTTCTGTCCTGGAATGTAAGTTATCATATTTTTCAGTGGTTTTGGAGGGTGATATGGAATCATGTTATGGATTAGAGAAAAATTTTCCACTCTAGGAGGTTTTAAGGCCTGAGCTGCAGTGGGCTGTCGCACTGGAAATGGTTTCAGATTTTCATGGAGGCCTTTGGGATGAGATTGGGTAATTTGATGATATAGAAAAGGTTCTAATCCCATAGTGTGACCTGGAGGTAGTTCTGAGGCTTCCTGATGAGTTGAAGAAAGATCTACCTGATTAGAGTTGTATGTTGTCTCAGCCATGGTCTCTTGAAAGGCTGGCGATTTGGTGTTGGAGAAATATGAAGGCTTTGAAAGGGTACTGGTCTTGACATGTGAAAATTCACCTTGCTCAGTAGAATCTATGGGCTGAGGTAGGTAGAGAATAGATCCATCCTCTAGAGAGGGCTCTGAAGTTATGGTAAGTGTTAGGTCCTCATGTTTAATGGTTGTTTTATATGATTTTGAATGTGCACTTCTGAATATTGCCTCTAGATCTTCAGGTGAAAGAAAGACGTCTGTCACTGAATGCCATGCTGAATTCTGCTGACTTGGAGAAGGTTCTACAGAAAACTCTTCAAGTTGGTTTGGGACCCCTTCACCAACTGGAGAATGCTGATCCTCTTCTGGGGTGGTTTGATACTGAGTTAGGATATTCTGTGATGCTGGAGAATGAACTTGGCCATGACCCAAGGGTGGACCTGTTACCTCATGGTGACCTGGAGGTTGAGCTATCTCTTCAGTAGGCAGCTCTAGACTATGTTTGGGAGACTCCTGCTGGGATGGAAAGGGTTCTCCTTCCTCAGAGATCTGTGATATTCCAGTTGTGTCTTCCTGCTGGCTTAAAGGTTTATCATACAGAATAGGTTCTAGAGATTGAGACAGAACACCCTGTTGATTTGTCAGGAATTCGACCTCTTCAGGAGCTGCTGCAGCATCATGATAGACAGGAGAAGTTCCCATCTCTATGGGGTTTTCTGTTATGGTAATATCCAGATCTGAAGGTTGACCAGTCACATCTGACAAGCTAGAATGCTGAGCCTGATAATGATTTGAGGGCAAAACTGTCACTTCATGATTCTCTGGAAATTGAGCTGGTTGTTCCGTTGTAGAACTTTTAAACTCTTCACCATACTCTGAGGCTTGAACTGGTACCTCCAGCTGGCTTTCAAATTGACTTTCCCCAGGAGTCTCAGAAGCCTGAGCTGGAGGCTCCTCCTCTTTGAGAAAGGGTTCAATATAATCAGAATACTCTAAAGCATGCACTGGAAACTCCTGCTGGGCCAGAAAAGAGTCAATCTCCTTGATAGGCTCCAAAGTTATAGTAAGTGTCACAGCCACAGGTCTAACTGTAACATTTGGCAAGTGATATCGGTAATCTTCATTTTGAGTTGGCTGGATTTCATGAATTGGTGAAGTTTCAGCTACAGTCTCAATAGGGGACTCTGGAGCTCCAAATGGAGCCTCTTGCTCAACTAGAGGGAATACTGTAGGCTGAACTGAGGCTCCTGGCTGGTTTTCAGAACCTGATCCTACCTCCTCAGGAGACTCAGAAAGTTGAATTGGTTGCTCTAGTTCACTGAGAGAGGATTCATCCTCCAAAACAGGGCCTAAATGTTGAGATAGATCTTCCTGTTGGGTTGGTAAGGGCCCTACCTCCTCTGAATCCTCCTGAGGCTGAACTGAAGATTCCAGATAAATTCCAGGAGATTCACTTTCCTCAGAAGGTTCAGCTGGCTGCTGCTGCTGCTGGTTAAGAAAAAGTTCGGCTCCAACAAGAGGACCTGGAGTCTGAGTTGGAGTCTCCTCCTCATATGGAGATGACTCAACTTCCTTTATAGACTCAGAAGTTATTTTAAGTTCTGTATCTACAGGCTTACCTGTAATAGTGGGCAAAGTATAATGGAGTGAATGGTGAGCTGGGTCTTCTTTTTGAATTAAAGATTCATCTTCCTCAGGGGACTGTGGGAAATAATCTAGAGCTTCCTGTTTGGGGTTCTCTGGATTTCGAGTTTGTGTCTCCATCTGGTTGAGTTCAACCTGCTCTAAGAGCTCAGGAGCTTCATCTGCCTTCTCCTGGGATTGCAGAGGAAGGTTATAAGAATGAGGTTCATTCATAGTCAGATCTTCGTAATAATCATCCATGATTTGTTTCTGAACTTGAAGTTTTCCAACAACCACTTTAGCAAGTTTCTTGTGCTGAGCTAGATCCTTCTTCAAGTTCTTGGGTGAAACAATGAACGTTGTTGCTTTTGAACTCTGGCTGTCTAGCGGTGGAACAACTATTTCATACAACTGATTATCTGCAGCCCCAACTAGACTGGCAGTACTTTTGAACTCAGGCAGAGTGGGAGCCTGATTTTGATCCCCACTTAGCGTTAAAATATTCCCTGGCTGCTTCCCAGTTGGTATCAGCTTGTTGGTCAGATCCTTATGGGGAACGAGCTCCTCAGACTCTGGGTTCAGCTTCCGAAAAGTACTAGGGTCCTGGAACGGAAGTAAACTGTCAGTCAACTCCTCAAGTGGGGACAACATCTCTCTGGAAACAGAGGACCCCAGGTAATCAACAGCCCCTATGTCTGTCTTGGATATTCGAGTATGTGCAGCTTTAGGTGGATGATCAGAAGGGTGCCAAGACCAGACCTTGGTTGGCATCCAGGGCTCTGAAGTCAACTGGACTGGATTTCCAGTGAACTCTGGAATGGGAACAGCTGGGGCCAGCAGCCACAAAAGTTGCCACGTGAAGAGAAGCCTTCGTGCGCCAAAGTGCAGTGGAGACATGACATGCAGTAGAGACTGATCCACAGTGCTGCCCCACACTGGCAGGAAATGAATGAAAGCCCTCGGAATCTTGGCAACCAGCTTGCCCTGCCCCGCCCTTTATTTATGACAGTTGACCTTTGTTACAAAACCATTACTGAGCAGGGTTCCAGTTGGATTCTGCTTGTTCTCTTGCCTGTAATCTTTTTTTCCTGGGCCTTATCTTGGAGTATCTGTATCCTGTTTCTTGCTTCTGTAGCATCTTCCTATTGTCCACAGTAGACTGATCAATGAAATAAGCACCAAATAATATCTGTTGTTAGGACTTTAAGAATAATGTTTAATTACAATAAAGTCATACATTTTTATTATTATTGTATAGTGGATAAGGCAAACGCTCCAACATGCATGCAGAACTCCAAGAACACCTTATGGAGTTTGTTCTCTCTTTCCACTTTTAGGAGGCTTCTAGGAATGGAACTCTGATCACAGGTTTGCATTATGAGGTGGCAAGTACTTTTATCTGTTGAGCTGCCTGCAGGCCATGAATATAAACTTAATCATAAATTACTATCTTCAAGTTTTTGCCTCTCATAGACCTTTTTAACATAGACCTTCTGTAATGTCCTTAACCTTTCTGGGTTTGTCCTAAATTTTGATGTACATTTTGGAATACTGATTACTTTAGGACAGAGTTACAATACTCATCTCATCTGAAAGCATTTTTTAACCATTTTTACCAAAATGTATTTTATATCTATGCCCCTTTTTGTGTTTCTTTTCTCAATTGATTGCTTTGTTATACTTTCTTTACAAATTAGAAAACATTTTATGTCATACTTCATAATGACACATAGATAAGTAGGATGTTTCTACACTGCAACAGTACTCTGAGATACACAGCTTTATACTTAGGTGTCAAAATTAAGCATAAGCCCACCTCATACAGAAACAGAGGACATGGCCACTCAGCAAGGATAAAGCTAATAGACTCAGTGAGATTCTGTTGCCATACACAGTTGAGAAAAAAATATTAAGAAACTTTATGTTCATGTTATCTGAGAATAGCTGACTACTCTAGTTATTTAAGCATTTGCTGGAGGCGGGAAACTATGGCATCCACAATCCATAAGAGTCCCAAGGTCCTTTTTGCTCTGTGTTGGTAATAACCTAGAGGTTATACTATGCCACTCTTTCCTTGAGCTAGGAAAATGGAATGACATACTCTTTATGAAGAGACTGGCTGTTAGACTTTACTCAGATTCTTCTTGGTTGGGACACAAATGTCTTCTGATGTTTGCTGATATCTCAATATGCAGAGAAGTTCACTCCACCCAGATGGAAGGAACTCAGTCATTCGGTTGAGTAAGATCTATCCTTTCTGAGCTTCAGGAACATCACAAAGTTAAAGTTGCTTCAACTTTAAACCTGTTAAAAAACATAAATGGTCTCTTCAAGTAAACAAAAAAGATATTTACTTTAAATACAAAAGTAAGTTCTATGTCTAAATATACCCATAGCTATAACCTCCTTTGTGTTTCAGTCTGTATCATTGCTTTTCTTTTGGACACTCTTGGTATGCATATTCTCAATAATGTATAAATGATTATAACCTCCCACTATTTTCTTATTAATTATTCCATCATTGACTCTACTTCTTAGACTTGTTCTCTTTACCACATTAATACAGAATTTTTGTATGTAACTATCAGTAATTTCTTCAAGTCAAAGAGAACTTCTTGCTAAGACACTGAAGACAACTGTCTAAGAATAGGTGTCTGACAAGACCTGATGGCTCTTAATATCTGTCAGCAACACAAGGAAAACCTGAGTCATTATTAAACAGAATGATGACTGCCCTAGATCCAACCAAATAAATTAATTTTTAAATGCTTGTAAGAATAATAATTGTTCTGTGCTTACATCCATAACTCTTAGACCATTATCCTAGTGAGGAAAGGCAGTCATAACACAGCATCTGGCTAACTGGCTTTACTTTAGGTACATTCTGATAGGACTCATTGTCACTGCCCCTAATCTCTTCCAGAAGTTCCTGGTGCCAGTTTAGGGATCTAAGCCAAAAATATGGCATGAATCTTACACAGGTTTAAAATTGGCAGGTGGAAGTTATACTTCGTGCAGACTCTTGCCTTCTGTAGATCAAGACTTGAATCACGCACTGAGCAAAATTGGTTGGTAGAATTGATGCTGGTGAGCCTATTCTACTCCATCATTAGCACCCCTGCTTCCGACTTAGACCCCCTAGCCTTATAACCAGTCTAGGGGAAAAAAACCCTCAGAAACAATTGAACTATCCTTTCAACACTGGATTTAGTCATTGCTTAAGCCATTCCATAAGAAGTCAAAAAACTAGATGTTTACACAAAAGTTTATGGAAATATTTAGATAATGGTTTGCCAAGGTATTTGAAGACTCTGAAGACATTTGGATTTGGGCAACTATTTTAGCATAAAGGCAAGTCCTTAACCAGGAAGTAGAGAAACATGATTCCCTATTTCCTCCAAAGCTTCTGGGCAAGTCAACTCTCCTCCTGTAATTTTAAAAGTTCTGTCAAGTATATGCTTAATAAAAAATTTGTCACTGGAAAAAAAGAGTTCTAGAAAGAAAATAATAATGCATCACTCCTCTATTCCTCTCTCCACACTGAGAACAAGGTTCCTCCAGTTCATACACAGACTCTTTGGGGGCATCAACAACTCAAGGGCTTCTGTGTTCATGGGACATTAGCACCACTTCTGCAACACAGAATAACTAAAGCCTGTAAAGCTACTAGGAGTTTAAATTAAAGTCCACTCTAGAATATTCTCATATTCTCTCTCTCTCTCTCTCTCTCTCTCTCTCTCTCTCTCTCTCTCTCTCCCTCTCTCTCTGTGTGTGTGTGTGTGTGTGTGTGTGTGTGTGTGTGTGTCTTTCTCTGTCTCTCTGTGTGTGTTTTACTGACATTAAAATCAAAGGCCTTATGAGTATTAGGCAAGCTCTTTACCACTGAGTCACAACCCCAGAATTCCTAAAATTTTAATAAAAATATTTTAAAAACCCATCCAACAATCCCAGCTAACAATGAGGTATCCTATACCTTCGAAATCAATTAACATTTGCAAAGGAACTACTAGATGCTGGCAGTTTGATTACATACTTCAGAAGCAGTGAAGAAAATATGGACTATCCAAATGATGTGGTTTATTCTAAGTGGTAGATTAATTCATATATATCCACTTACTTTCAACAGTAGTTGTCCTCTTGCATGTTCTCCACATAATCCAGTTCAATTCTTTTTGTCTAAAGTCTTTGATTATGTTGACATGAAAGTATGGTTAGTCAAAGTCTATAAAGTGTTCTTCATGACTCTGTTGGACCAATGGAAACAAAGGTTGTAATACTACTGTTCTTGGCATTGTGAGCCATTTAGGACCAGAGCCTGATGTCAAGCTGCCTTATATTTGGTATTAAGATAAAGCTAGACACAAGAGACTTACAATACCATAATCTGCCAGAGATTCTATTTTATACTTGGAATGCAATGTTCGTTTTACAGAGTGGGTGTGAAGATTAAATGGCATAAGAAAAACATTTTTAACTGTATTCAGAAAGAACCTAAATAAATGCTTTTTTTTTTAAAGTCACAGCACTTTCAGGTATCATTTTCAGGACACATGATTTACTAGTTGCCCTCTCTTGGTGGACAGTGATAATAACAAGGTAGTCCTACAGAGAAAAGCATAAAATTGTAAGTGAGCAAAGGCATGCTTCGGTCTTCACATCTAACAGCTCCTACTGCAGAATATGATCCAATGCAGAGGAGATGAACTGGCCACTCATCTCCTCTCCAAACTGCTAATCTATTAAAAGGAAGAAATACACCTATCTCTTTGAATTTTACAGGCAACTAGAACTATAAGAAAAGTTCTTCTGTATTACTACACTTCTGTGAGAATGCAAATTCTTCCTAACATTAACTCTAAATATTTTACAAACATTTTGGATTTTTTCTTTTCTTTTTTCTTTTTTCTCTTTTTCTTTCTTTCTTTCTTTTTTTTTTTTTTTTTTTTTTTTTTGACAAGGCCTCATATAACTGGATTCTCTTTGTTGCCCCAGGACAATATTGAACTTCTGATCCAATTTGAGTTGGAGTGTTAGGATTAGAAGTATATACCAATCTACCCACTTTTGAAATTTTAATGTGATGTTAGAAATAGAAGCCCATTTCATGCTAGGCAAGCACTTACTCTATCAAATGAACTATTTCCCAGCCATACAGTACAATAGTTCTTTCAAAGATATCTACTTCAATTTTTTAAAAGTGTTATATATTCATAAGATTTAAACAATACAAAATAAATAAACAATACAAAATAATAAATTATTAGTAGCCTATGGACCTGTTTATGCACCTTAATTCTCTGTCACAAGTCTATAAGCAAATAAGCATCTGATAGGCCAATATTTTGCTCTTTTCCAGGACCAAGCATAGTTTATACTATGTACTAGAGGACTGATAATATGTCAACTGAATGAGTGAATGAATGAATGAATGAATGTTTTTAAAATGAAATTGCTTTCTCTATCTGAAGATCTAAAACTGCCTGTTAGAAATGTCCAGTACTGCAAGGGAGACTGGCTGTATATGTCACAGTGGGATTCCTCTGGAATCCAGGAAGCACAGAGTTGTTACCTCAGATAAGCTTAGCATAGTTATTTCTGGCAGTCACCTTTCTTCATGAAGAGAAAATGGAATAAAAAAAATTTTAGGGTGCTTTATACCCTTTCTTGATGTTATTTTAAACATTATTCTCTTTTTTATATTTATAAAAGGTGTGTGTGTGTGTGTGTGTGTGTGTGTGTGTGTGTGTGTGTTGGGGGTGGGGGACAAGGCAGAACTACCTATATTCACTGGATCTAAAAGAATAATTATAGTTAAACCGGTAACAAGGCAGGAGGGTGAATAATAGGCAAGGCTCTGCAATAATTATGACTTCACTTACTCAGTGATGGGCTTAACTTGTAAAACTCTTAAAACCTAAGATTTATAAAATGGTTTCAGTTTCCAAAAACCAATAAAAACTCACTACTGCTTTGTAATTTCTCCAGTGACATCTATACTATACACATGCTTGGACCTACTCACAGGTTAGAAACAGATCACAATAGTTAAAGTGTCTGACAGATGATATCTTCAGTCATTAGAAGTGGATGGTCTAGAATGGAAGAGAGTGTTGAACAACGTACAGAGGTAGAGATAGTGTAACACTACACTATTGAGTAGTTTACAGATTCAATAGAAGCTACATGGACAAACATAGGCAGCAAGGAAGGATCAAGTGGTCAATCACTGCAGGTGTCTGAACTGAGGAACTTAGTGAAAAGTTGCCATGAAGCAAGTTCTTGGAAATTAAATTGGTTGGCATGTTGACATGGAAGGGAGTTTCTACAATACCTCGATGGAGCCCGTTTTCTGGGAACTGAAGGGAGTTTTGATAGACAGCTTAAAAGTGGTCAAGATAAACTATCCCGTTTGGATTACTAATGACAGGTTTACCTTACACATCTTAAATCCAGAGACAAGCAACAGAACCCAATCTTGTGAATTCTTAAATTTAAAGGCAACAAAAACTGATGCTGAATATTCTACATGAGTAGACTTGGGTTTGACTTCTCACAAGTCACTGCTACAAACCTAATCTACATATATCATGTAACCGTAACAAGCACGAAGAAGTCTGGAGCTGCACCTGGAAGTGCGGTATGAACCAGAGAGCAGCACAAACACTAGCTCACTGCCCAACATGGCACTTTACTCCAGATCCCTCATTTGTACCCACCTTCACGGGCCACGTCTGAAAACGATGCTTCCAGTCGCAAGCGTCCCTGACCTAGTAAAACTTGATGATGGTGTAGAAACCCGGGTGGACCACTTCAGGATTCGGGAAGATCCGGATTATATATACAGAAGGCCAAACTGGGAGACCACTGCGAACAGAGAATGCTGTGGGAGGCCCACGACCTGAGCGTTGACCTCAGCTCCACTCCCGAGCATTCCTCCCTGCACGAACGCCGGGCTTCCTGAGGAGGAGCCGAGTGTGTGAGACGCGCGGATGGCTAAGGGCGCCTAGCTAGCTCACTGACGGCTGGTCCTCTAGCCCTTCGTCCAAAGTATTACCTGTAGCCGAAACTCAAAGCCAGAGGGATCCGGATTCCCCAGGCGCGGAAGGTGGCCTCATCCATCCTCTCCTCAGCACAGCCCCTCACTTGCAAGGCCTAGGCCTGAGGGCCCAGAGTTCAAGCTCCCACTCAATGCTTTCGTGCCCCAGCCTCTACCCCTACTCCTTACTCTCACTGCGCCTGCGCAAGCAACGCCCCGCACAGGCGCACAAGCGAGGGCCATGAACGGCAGGCGGCCAGCATCCTAGTCACCAGGCTGACCTCTGTTTCTCAATCCTCAACTCCAGTTGCACCACTCCAGCGCTAGAGTTGACGCTAATTCCCCTATCGAAGCGTATTTTTAAGGGTAGATTTGCAGGATCTAATTGGCATCACCTTCACTTCCGGAAGAGAGTAAATAGTAGGTAGGTAGCACTGTCCTACCTACTGGTGGGAAATGACTTCTAAAGATGGGTTCCTTGAAGTTAACTTTAAGGGGTTTAAAATATGCTAGATTAAGCAGAACCCAATCACTGGGGGTCTAGCGGTTGAAAAGTTTAAAGACATGTCCCTGGTTGTCCTGGAGTTTCTAGTGGTGTATGTATGTGGACTTGGACCGGGGCGGGATGAGTGAAGTGAGGGGAAGAAAATTTGGAAAGGGATCAAAATGGATCCAAATAACTACTGGAGCTGGTGGTGCCTAAGAAAGGTGTTCCGGAAGATATAATGGGCTACTTATGGGAATAATTCTCAGAGAGAAGGTGAGGCCTAAGGCTCAATAATTCTAAGTTGTCAGAGGCCAACAGGACTCTGCAGAACGTGTAAGTTTAATAACAGCCCTCAGATCCTTACTGGTTTATGATGGCGTTCTCACCTGTCCTCAACAAAATAACAAAAGGACAGTAGCCCTTGTCTGGCACTAGCTAACCAACGTGTATAAATTTTAGTAAATACTCAATTGCCCACTGCGATGTTTGTGGATGTCTCTGTGTGTCTAGGAGGGAATTTCTAGAAACATTTTGACGGAGGAAGGAAGACCTACTTGAATGTTAGATGATACCATCCCACAGGCTAGGATTCTGGGCCAATCAAAAAGGAGAAGGTGAGCTGAGCTGAGCACCAACATTTACCTCAGCCTCCTAACTACAGATGCCATGTGACCAACTGTCTCACACTCTTCCTGCCATGTCAGCTGGGATGGACTGGACTCTCAAACTGGGAGTCAAAGAATAAAAAAATAAAAATAAAAATAAAAACCTTGGGGTTTTTTTCCAGTTATTTTGGCACAGCAGTAAGACAGGCATCTAATACAACGCTCTTCTGGTTTTAGTTATTGATTGACATCCTACTTGCTTGGGAAATACAAAAATCAGGAAACCAGTAAATCATCAGATCCTTGGTCTGACTGCTGATACAGTTAAATCTTGGGATAGAAGGATAAGTTAATACTAGTCTGAGTTAATACTCCAGTTTAGTTAGACACTACTGATAGTGGCTGTGTGGAGGACATCCCCCCAACTGTCCCTTTTCTGACTTTATTATTATTACTATTATTATTATTAATCTAGATTCTCAATCTCTCTGTATCATTTGTACTTGTTACCATAGCTTTGTCTCAGTTCCACTTTCTCCACTTCAATCCCAGACCCTCCGCACTATATCTGATCTTCAATTTACCTTTAAAAACAGTTGTCTGGCACTAGCTAACCAACGTGTATAAATTTTAGTAAATACTCGATTGCCCACTGCGATGTTTGTGGATGTCTCTCCTTTGCCACCTTAATTATGAATACCCAAGAGTAACAGATACACTTGTCTTCCTTTTTCTTGGGCCTAGAACACTCTTAAAGCGGTAGGTACACAAATGTAACTGGAAATAAATACATTCTTTGGCCATGGTGTGCTTTAATAAATTTTGAAACATATAATTGTATTTATTTGACCTCTTCTTGGTTTGCAAATAATAGGAACAAAGGAACTGGGCCTGGATGAACACAAGCAGAGAGCCGAGGTAAGACGTTTCCCCCTGGGACTCTGGCCAGTTTTACTTGTGAGTGGGAAGAGAAGAAAGTAACAGGTGAAGGCAAGACGATGAAATAGTGAAGGGTGTCCAAGGAGTACAGGGGTCCTGGAGTGACTCCCCAGTAGGTCTGCACCCTGGTTCATACCAGATGGCATCCCGTCATCCAGTAGGAGAGTGGCCGTCCTAAACAGTGCAACCTCCATTCTACCCTGTGGAGTTAAAAACAGAAGGTTTTTGCTCTCTGTATAAGTGCTGTTTCTCCACACACTAACTCAGTTCTTCGGAGTCCTCCCTGAAGAGCAACCCCTAGAATCCTCTTCATTCCTAGCAGGGCTGACCCTTCTGATTCTTCTTTAAGGTTCCCTCACCCCTAGGGCTTACCCTTTTTCCTCATTTAGTAAGTGTCCACATTTTCAAATCCTCATTTCCCTTTGAAGGTGGGTGGCACTATTTTATAGGATTTAGAGTTAGTTAAAATCCTTGAACCTACCCTTCAGAAAGGAGCAGCCCTTATCATCGTTAATGGTCTTTCCTGGATCTTGTATTGACCATGCAAGGCTCATAACTCTGTACCTCTTTACACATTCCTGTAGATGGAGCCATTTGTATTAGTTACATGTCCAGAGAAGTGGTCCCCTGTGCATCCAGCTTTGAGGAGCTAAAAGCTTTGGGGTATCTGTCCCACTAAGGGGCCCCCTTTAACAGGAAACATTATTATGAGAGGTCCCCTGCAGGAGAGACGTTTGTATTATTTAAATCTTCTCATGCTTTCAGCTAATTAGAACAAGGAGGGAACTACTGGTCCACACTGAACCAATTAGAGTCTCTATTTCTGGAACTTTGACCAGGTCTTGTCTAATAGTCCTCTTAGGGCTTTAAGTTGTAGACTTGGAAGGCTGTAGTCTGCCTTGTGTGTTGGGGAACAAAGGATGCTGGTTTGCAGAGAACAGTGGCTTACATATGCAGTGGAAGCAGAACTGGTCGTGGGAAGCCTCTGCCTTTTTCCTAGCTTCCCCTGAGGTTCCTGCTCTCTCCTGAGACCTAGTTGCTGCATCCCTTGAGTGGGCTCAATAAGAGACCTTCTCTTGAAATAAATTTCTGGGCTGGGGATGACTCCCAAGCCTAGGGACCTGAGTTGGAATTCCCCCAAACCCACATGCTGGGTAGGCTTCCCTGCATGCCTGTAATTCCAGTGTTCAGAAGGCTGGGACAGCGGATTCCTGGAGCAAACTGATTAGCCAGACTAGCCAAATCTGTGAGCTCTGGGTACAATCTAGAGACCCTGACTCAGGGAATAAGGTGAAGAGGATTGGGAAAGATTCCTGCCATCAACATCAGGCCCACATACACATGTATGCAGACGTGCATACCACACACACATGCACACACGTGCTAAAAATAAATAACCCAAAGCATCTAAATGTATGAATATATAAGGTTCTCTCTACTGGCTCAAGTTGCTTTCTCTTATTGCAATCAGAAATTATTAATACAATGTTAGAGAAGAAACCAACTCGGATGCTAGGACAAAGAGTGCTGAGACCATCCACTACCCCCATCTTTTTTCCTTCTTAAAAAATTTTTTTGAGATTTTTAATTTTTATTTTGTATGTAAAAGTGTTTGTTGGGTGGAGGTCTGGGCACCACGCGTGTGCAGGGCCAGTGGAGGCCAGAAGAGGGTAGTGATTCCCCTAGGATTGGAGTTGTTGGTGGCTGTGATCTGTCCTGTGGGTGCTAGGAATTGAACCAGGGTCTTCTGAAAAAGCAGACAGTGGTATTAATCACTGGGCAGTCTCTCCAACCCCACATTTCTCTAAAGCTCTGTAAGGGAGTGCCCACAACTCTTTGGCTGTTGCTCCTCGCTCTGTCATGTCCTCCCTGGGGCTCTACCCACTAACTTCATCCCATCAATCCTCCTGCTAGTCCTCTCATGGGTTCTCCCACCAGTCCTCCCAGCAGTCCTCCCATATCCTCCTCACCAGTTCTTCATCCCTCCGGATGCAGACACAATCTTTTTTGCACAGTGGATGGATGAAATGAGGTTGGGATTCAGTAGTTCTGAAAAGAAGGAAGAGGTCACCTGTGATGGATACAAGGGCTAATCCCAAAGACCAGACAGACGCCATCTTGTCAACCTAAGGCTTGAGCATTTCCAGGTTAGGGAAGGCCTCCATCCTGGGGACACCTTAGATATTCCTACAGTGGCTGGCAGAGATGGGAAGTGGGGCCAGGAGGAGACTGGACTCAGGCCCCTGCTCTTCCTCTAGCCAGGGTAGGTAATGGTTCACCCAAAGTTTGCAGCATTTCTGGCATAAGGGATGCCAAAACAGAGATCAAGAAAAGGCCCTCCTTATAGGGAAATCTATAGGTGTGAAGCCTAGGGATATCAAGGTAGGAAGAATTCACCCACCCTGTCAAGCCTCCTGGATTAACTTTGAGACAGGGAATTTGTACCTGACTTTTGATTTGCCCATTAGCCTGAGTACTATTGAATGGACATATCTGAGCCTTCAAGGCCACAAGTCACATTCATTTCTAGACCAACTGCCTCCCTCTCCCTTCTCTCTTCTTCCCTCCCTCCCTCCTCCCTTCTTTCCTTTCTCCCTCCCTTCCTCAGACAGTATCTCATTGTATGTCCCCAGGCCAGCCTTGAGTTTCTGAGCTCTGACAATCCTCCTGCTCCAACCTTCTGAGTGGATGATACTACATAACAGCACCGTGGCTTTTCTCTGAGCCTGAGTTTGCTCATCTGAGAAGCAGGGCTCATAAGCAGTTTCTACTGTGTGGAAAGGTGGGCAAAATGACCTGTGTGTATACTGTGCTCTCTATATAGCGTGCTGTCAGTCCTTCTGGGCTCAAGGGACCCTCCAGACCTCCTGCAAGGATGGAACAACTGTGGTATTATTCATCTGCTCAGTCAAGGGATTCCTTGCTCTTTAAACCACCCCTGGAAGGACATACCCAGGCAGTGCCTGGGAAGGAAGGCCCTGTAAGTAGAGCCTAGCCTCCTCTCTCCTCTCTCTCACCCTAGGGCTCCCAACCAGACCTTGACAGTCAGTTCTGCAGAAGTTCTCTGAATGACTCTGGTAGTCGTTGCACCAGTAGCGGCTGTTGATCTGGAAGACGCCATAGTCGAAGCTACCATCTACGTTCTCATTCACCTTGGATATGTTGAACTTGCTTTCCACAAAAGCCAAGCATAGCCCTTAGAAAGGAGAGAAAAGGGACTCTCTGTAGGAAGGGTCTGAACTGAGTGCGTAGGGAGTTGGCAAAAAAAGGGGGCGGAGCAAGGCACCAGGAGGGAGAACGAGGCCCAAGAGGCTAGCCGTGCCTGAAGAGCTAGAAACAGCTCCTCCTTCCTGTCCTTCGGTCCATTGCCCCGTCCATTTGTACAGCCATCCCCCCGTCCTTACCCCTACTTAATGCTTTATACACTTGCTGAGTGCCTACTGTGTGCCAGGAGCTATGCACAGCCAAATAGGCTAGTACTGACTTCAAGGGGCCTAGTACAGATCGAACAAAAGTACAAACGTATGGACTTAACACGGGGGGGGGGGGGGGGGAAGAGAGAAGAAGGGAGGGAAGAGAGAGAGAGAGAGAGAAAGAGAGAGAGATTGAGCAGGATAAGTGGAAAAGGTATCACAAGGCAGGTGTGTACAAATTTTAGATGGAGAGGAGAGCTTCCTTCCACACAGCCTTAGCGTTGGCTGTTCCTTTGGCCTAGAATGCTTTTCTTCTGGTCATGTGGTTCTTTCATTCAGCACTGCCCAGGGTCGCTTCCTCAGAGTCTTCCCCTGACTTCAGTTTCAACAGTGTTACCCATGTCCACATGTTCATTTTTTATGTTTTTAGAAATTTGTGTGTGTGAAAAAGAAAGAGATAGACAGGAGACAGGAGAGAGACAGAAGGAGGGAGGAAGGGAGGGAGAGAGGGAGGGAGGGAGAGAGGGAGGGAGGGAGG